AATGGAAAATAAAAATAAAAGACCAGATCACTGGAAAATGCTTATTTTAGTCAAATTTATTTTATACTGTAAACTATTAAGGACATTCCTTCTAAGCCTAAAATAAAAAGTGATCCCACTTAATATTAAGTCAAATAATAACAGTCAAATTAATCATTTTTTACAGTGTACTTACTGGGTAAATATGTGTTTTTACATTGCACTTAGATTCATTAAATACATGCAATTAATTACGTCTTTAATTATACTGTTGACCCTCACATCTTAAACCCACACTTAAATCTGTCCCTAACCCTACACGTATAGGTACATTTATTTTTTTGAAGTGCATAGTAGTTGAGGCTACTTAATATAAAGTGGGACCAAAAAGGTTATCAAGAGCATTCTATTATTTAAATAAGAAAAGTTTTCAGGCATGTTTATATATATATATTTTTTTTTCGATAACGTTATACAAATGATTCAGTTAGGAACTTAATACTGGGTGGATTTACCCTGATTTTCAATCACAACATATAAAACATTTGTTATTTTGACTAATTGGAATGACAATATCTTACTTGAAATTTGGAATAAATGTTATGACAAATCGTAAAAAATTTTTTATCAAACCCATAACTAGGGCCAGGCAGAATCTGTGACATTTTTTACTATTTCTGCTGAGAAAAAAGTAAAAAGTTTGTGGATATGTGCGGAATGATTTTGGAAGCATCAAAACAAAAAAACTTAATACATTTTCATACATTTTCTTTTCGGGCTGGTCCCTTTATTAATCTTTGGTCGCCACAGTGGAACGAACCGCCAACTTATCCAGCATATGTTATACGCAGCTTATGCCCTTCCAGCTGCAACCCATCTCTGGGAAATATCCATACACTCTCATTCACACACATACACTACGGACAATTTAGCCTACCCAATTCACCTGTACCACATGTCTTTGGACTGTGGGGGAAACCAGAGCACCCGGAAAAAACCCACGCAAACGTGGAGAGAACATGCAAACTCCACACAGAAATGCCAACTGAGCCAGCTGAGGCTTGAACCAGTGACCTTCTTGCTGTTAGGCGACAGCACTACCTACTGTGCCACTGCGTCGCCATAATACACTTTTAACTTGTATTTAAGGTTTACAATGCAAATTCATATAGAGCCACTTATTTGGTAAACAAAGCAAGTCTCTCCTATAACATATTTACTAAATGACAGAACATATCACTCTACAAACTGTATTGTAAATAAATCATATGAACATTTTAATATTTCTATTATATCACAACAATATTAGTGAAAGTAATTAAAAACTGAATAAATATACATTTACACAAGTAAATAAATAGACTCAATGATGGGCTAAAAATCTGTATATTTCTGCACGTGCAGATACCGTGTGAGCCTACTCATAACTAATAAATTAAGTAAATGGGTCATTATCACTATAAAGTGCCTTTGAGACATAAAAAATCTCAAACTTTTTATTTTTATTTTTATTTAACCACATAGGTAAATATATTTTTAATTTCTGTTTCTTTTATTATTACTATTATTAATTAATACTTCAACCATGACCGGGTGGACATGTTTAGCTTCAAAACATTAAGTTTCAAACACAATGTGAGAAAAAATAGGAAAGTAAGTGTAGATAGTTACTGTGTGCACATCAGATGTTTTAACCTCTGAAGGCAAAATGAGCATGGGGATGCCAACGAGTACATCAGAGGGTGTCTTAAAGGGGCTTTACTACATCATGACAAGGTGGACAGCAATTTCAAGCACACGTACAAAATGATTACTAATGTTATCAAAATGACTTATTTTATCAAATTACTTGTTAAAGATAATAAGATAATAATCTTTTTAATTGTATCTAATCTACCTACTTAGTCTCACTGAAGTTGGCTGAGCAGTGTGTGGGACATTGTCAATTTTTTGCACTATTCTTTCTCTGACTGGATGTGTTTTTGCAAAAACACATTTCATAACACTTATAATTCTACCTGCAAGTGTGTAAATGTTTAAACAATTATATTAAAACATCAGAATTTCATTATTTTGAATTATTTTGATAAAGAACTGATTCAATCTTGTGGTACATCAAGGCACTTTATTTTGATAATGACCCAAATACAGACAAAATTTTCAGTGTTTTCAAGTTTTTAATATGTCAATATTTTTTCCTCATAACTGTATGTCTTTAATACCATAACACATTTTGCTGTCCAGCAGTGCTATTTGAAAAGCCTTTCAGAGTTCTGTACTGTAGCTTTGCAACACAAAACACTTGACTGACAGATTGCAAGCTTTCTATACTGAAATACCTCACTGCAGCCATTCATATTAAAGTCCCTTACATACCAAACCACCATGGTTTGTTTAGTGCTCTTGAGTGCCCTTTTCTAGCCGAATGAGTTCACATTTACTCGGGGAGCCATGAAACACTTACTCTCTTCTCACAAATTGGCCTCACGGCTCGACACACCACCGCGAGCTCGTGATTAAAAGCTCTTGTATTGCCATAATGACATTGCTTTCTCTAGGATGATGTTTTTACAGGAATAAATCACTTCCATACAGTGCAATGGGTAGAGCTAACTGCACGTGAGCAAAATGCAGTTTTCGGAAAGACACAGAAGTGAGTAATTCTGTTGTCTCAGCGTTTTGTTGTTCAGTTTCTCATTTGTTTTCCTCAAAACAAGGCTGTACAGCTGTGAAAAGGTAACAGCTGTGCCTATGAGCTCATCGTCCCGGTAAATTGGTAACATATGATGACCTCTTGACTTTGGTATGGGTGAATCGGGTGTTGGCGATAGTGGGAAAGAAGTGAGTTTTTTGTCTTTTGTTGCCAGCCTGGTTTTTTAAGATTATGAGTGAAATTACAACGCCATCTAGTGGAAATTTGATGCTTGCACTATTTACACAAGGTTATTTTATAGTCCTTTTGACTCACAGGCCTTTTTCAGCACAGTATTAACCCTCTGACTGCCCCTATGCCAAACGGTTGACCATGTTTTTACTGTTTTAAATAGTGAGTTTTAAGTCATTTAAAGAATAACTGTTGTAAATAATGGTTTACACACACAGCATTTTTGGTTTACAAAAAACAACAAAACAACAACATAATCCTGTTGAACTACTACACTTGATTTTGGTTTTATTGTAAAAAAAAAAAAAAGAAAGAAAGCATGTTAAATGAGAATCTGAAATATTTCATGGAATACTTCAAAAAATAAAGATGATTTAGTATTAACAAAAAATATTTTTGATATTTAAAAAAAAAAAATCAGTCTTAGACTTCATATTTTCAGATTTTTCATAGTATACGTATTAAGCCCGGTACTCTTACCCTAAACTGGGGTTGATATTTTAGAAATTATGGTATGGTGAAAAAAAAGGGCATCGAGTGTGTTGACTAGCAACATTAAGATTAAGATATGCAATCCAAACATTTTTTTTTTTTTTTTTTGGTGGGGTAGGTAAAGTGTTAAATAATTATAACCACAAGGTTTTAAGATCTGTACATTTCAAAATATAGCCTAAATATTTGGGATTAAATTATAGAGTTTTGTATTTCATTGTATTATTATTCATTTGGAGTGCACAGCTTTACCAAATATTCTTCTAAATGATAATATTCCTTTTTTGAAATTACAAAATAAAATAAAAAAACAAGTGAATATTTTACTCAAAACACAAACAGTAGAGCAAAAAAATCACAGTGTGTCTGATAATATTTTTTTCTTCTGGAGAAAGTCTTAAATGTTTTGTTTTGGCTAGAATAAATACATTTTTTTTATTTTTTTGAAGCCATTTTAGGGTAAAAATTATTCACCTTTAAATGTTACTTTAAGCTGTATAGAAGTGTCTTAAAAAACATCTAGTAAAATATTATTTACTGTCATCATGGAAAATATCAAATAAATCTGTTATTAGAAATGAGTTATTAAACTATTATGTTTAAAAATGTGTTGTAAAAAATCACTATTGGCACTAATGGCACTATTAATTCAAGGAGGCTAATAATTCTGACTTCAACTGTACATATTATTAGCAAACCAAGAGAATCCATAATATCTTTAAAGTGGTCTCTTAATTCTATCCAGATCTGTAGGTTCTTAAATGAAATGTGAAAAATACCCCCAAAAAGTTATTAGGGGAAGAAGAGGAATATGAGTGTGCATTATTAGTTTACACGTTTTCAGCATTTTAATTTAGACATAAATTATTAATACATTATTCATTTAAAAATAGTAAGTAGTTAGGTGCCCCCCCCCCCCCCCCCCCCTGGAAGTTTTATGAGCCCCTTTTTATCATTCATTCATTTTCCTTTGGCTTAATCCCTTAATTCATTAGAGATCACCACAGTGGAATGAATCGCCTACTTATCCAGCATATGTTTTATATAACGGATGCCCTTCCAGCTGCAACCCAGTACTGGGAAACACCCATACATACTCATTCACACACATACACTAGGGCCAATTTAGTTTATTCAATTCATCTATAGTGCATGTCTTTGGACTTTAAGGGAAACTGGAGCAACCGGAGGAAATCCATGCCAACATGCACACTCCACACAGAAATGCCAACTGACCCATCCGGGACTCGAACCAGCAACCTCCTCGCTGTGAGGCGACAGTGCTATTCACTCAGCTGTTTTTATTCATTCATTTTCTTTTCGGCTTAGTCCCTTTATTAATCCGGGTTTACCACACCGGAATGAACCGCCAACTTATCCAGCATATGTTTTACGTAGCGGATGCAGCCGCAACCCATCAATGGGAAACATCCACACACACTCATTCACACACATACATTACCTGCCCAATTTGTGGGGGGAAACTGGAGCACCCGGAGGTAACCCACACGAACACGGGGAGAACATTCAAACTCCACACAGAAATGCCAACTGACCTAGCCGAGGCTCAAACCAGCGACCTTCTTGCTCTGAGGTGAACGTGCTACCCACTGCGCCACCTAATTCTATTTGTTTTCATTTGTAGGATCACGACATGCCCAGTCCACCTCAGAAACCCCTTCCTGCACATCCCTTAATCAGAAGCCACGGGATGGGGCGAAATGTAAGGATACCCGCACCTCTGGCCATCCCGATTCCAACAGTACCACGACCCCCTCCCTCCATACCACTGCCCAACAGGTCAGTCCCACTGTGATGTTGTTGACAAAAGCACACATTTATTCATGAAATTTAACTGTTTTTATTTTTTGCTACACTTTAGACCTCTGCCCAGATTACCACAGCCTTTTTATGATCACTGACATATGAACACCAGAGCACTGGGTGAACCTCACCAGCATCTGAACACACTTGTTTTGCACTATGAAACTCTGTTGGACGATGTGACCCCCCTGCAGAGAAGAGGCTGACCGGACACCTTGGTGCTGCGCCTCCTCAAAAAAAAAAAGAAAAAAAGAAAGGTGTTCGTCTGTCCTCGCTCAGGTACTGCACAACTATTTAAGATGTATATTTATTGTGAGGAGGAAACGATGTGCTGTGCTCGACACATTTTTTTACTGTATGATCATTGTGACTTTTATTGCAATCTTTCTGATGGTTTTTACACTTTAAAAAAAATGATGATTTGAATTTAGGTTACAAATCATGTGTTTCTTCCGTGTTTTTATAGTGTTTTCTTGTTCTTCTAAGTTTATAGACGGCCATTCACACCAAGGATGATAACTATAAGATGATTATATTAATTATCACATCAACAGACAGTATTGTTTTTATATTTTAGGCATGCATTATTGTCGGGTTATCTTCAGTATATTAAGAAGTAATTCCTATTGTGTAATAAGCGATTAGTTGACTACTTAAAAATGTGAGTAAATCTGTTGCCTTAAAATTAAGTTAATTAACTATGTACATAATTATAAAAATAAAGTCAATTTAATAGTTCCAAGTTTACCCATTTTTTTTAGTAAAGTCAACTTGTTGTTTTTAAGGCAAAGGTTTTACACACTCTTTTTAAGTAAAGTAATTTATTTTTGCACAACATATTCTGAAAACATAGCTCCATATATCTTTCTGGAGATTGTGAATTATGCAGCCAGAGATACAGTACAGACCAAAAGTTTGGACACACCTTCTCATTCAAAGAGTTTTCTTTATTTTCATGACTATTAAAATTCTAGATTCACAATGAAGGCATCAAAACTATGAATTAACTCATGTAGAATTATATACATAACAAAAAAAGTGTGAAACAATTGAAAATCTGTCATATTCTAGGTTCTTCACAGTAGCCACCTTTTGGTTATTGCTTTGTACACTCTTGGCACCTGAAATGGTTTTCACTTCACTGGTGTTCCCTGTCAGGTTAAATAAGTGGGATTTCTTGCCTTACAAATGGGGTTGGGACCATCAATTGTGCAGAAGTCAATACACAGCTGATAGTACTGAATAGACTGTTAGAATTTGTATTATGGCAAGAAAAAAGCAGCTAAGTAAAGAAAAACGAGTGGCCATCATTACTTTGAACGTGTCCCCAAGTGCAGTCAGTAAAACGATCAAGCGCTACAAAGAAACTGGCTCACATGCGGATCGCCCCAGGAAAGGAAGACCAAGAGTCACCTCTGCTGCGCAGGATAAGTTCATTTCTGCATTTCGTCTTTCAAATGAATGCTCAGTATGATGGTATGACACCATTTTTTACACGCTTACCAGCTGACCACTTATAGTACCTCCTTATGGACTTTTGGCTTTTCTGCTGTTAGTTTGTCCAGTGGCTCGCCGCATATGTTGGCGGACTTGAGACGCAGAGAGGAGTTGACTGCAATTGGTGGGTGAATTGGTGCTTTTGGAAGATTTCAAAAACTGTACACAGCGCCCTCTGGTGGATTTGCGAATACAAAAACTGGCACAAAAGAAAACACCACACCTCCTTGGACGTATTTCGTGATCTCCAGAAATGTATATAGGATTATGTAATCAGAATGAGCCTGGGTTGTTTTTACAGTGTAAGTACTCATCCGCAGGCCATCAAAGATGTGAACCTGCTCACTTTCTTCAACTAATGCGAAAATTGCATTTTGGAGGAAAACATTCCAGGATTTTTCTCCATCTAATGCGTGTGAATGGAATACAATGTAGCACTTTAATGGGCTAAAATTCATTTTAGGAAGCTTCAAAATAATCAAAACTTTTTTTAGTGTAAGTCTCTTTTCTTTTCAGAAAAATAATAATAAAAACATTCCTTGGTTCAACACCTTGTGCGGTCAAGAGATATTTTAGACCACCATTGCTCACTTGATGCATTTGAAGTTGTTTATTAATGTTTTTATAATGTATGCAATATAGATTTTTGTCTATTTGCCTCTATTCATTTAAATTAGATGGAAAAATACCTGACATGTTTTCCCTCCACAATCTTTCTCATCAGCTAAAAAGAGTTATATTCACTTTGAGATGCCTGGGCCTAAATAAATTAGAACATAAACATTGCTTTTACAGTACAAATGACTATTGATCCTTGAGATGAATACCTGGAAACCTTAGTACTGCTTAAGCCCGGGACAAACCAAGCAGATGTCAAAGAACTAGCAGTGATGAAAACCAACTTTATTATTGCTACCTTTGTGTGTCCTGGAATTAAAAGGGCAAGAAGTTGCAAATGCAGGTAACAAAAGTTGTATACTGTATATCTGAAATTATCTAAATAAGATTTTTTTTTTATCATATACAAACTTAAAAATAAACATTTATTTACATTTTTTTGGGGTTTTGAGATGCATTCGAACTAGAATGATTTTTGTGACCTGGCAACCCAGATTGTTATAATTTATTGCTGAAGATTAAAAAAAATAAATAAATCTTTCTCTGCATTGTCATTAGTTTGTAAATTACTTTTTTTTCATAGCAAATAATCAAAAACTTATACAGCTGTTCAGTACTTTATAGTTTATACTCAATAACTATCATTTATAATTATAGTTTATCATCCATGGTGTGATCGAGCAGTATTTAATTTTAAAGAGAAATGCTTTAAACATGACGCAGTATGTGTGGGATACTGGAGTACATAAGTAACACCACGAAACGGAGTGCTGGAAAAGAATCAACCACTAAGTGCAAAAAACCCTTCACAATTACTTGAATAGAGCATGTTATAAAGGAGAAAGTGATGTGAAGCATTACAGTTCAGTCATATTTCTGTCGCTCATGGCCATCAGCAAACCAGTTTTATGTAGAAGTGTAAAATCATCTGTGCTTGTGAGCTTTCTGCCCATGCAAGAATCACTAAGAATCGCTACATCTTTAGTCCAAAGCATGCAGATTTCTTTAGACTATAGATATGACACCTGTTGAAGAGAGATGTGGTTAAATTTCTTTGCACTTAGATAAGAAAATAAAATCCATCTGACTAGGGATTAAGTGATATATGTATGTCTGAATATGCAATAAACCTGCATAACCAGTGACATGGCAACCATTCTGGCATAATAATTGCAAGATATTTTGGCAAGCAAAGATCCACATTATCCTTAAAAAATGTTAATTCTAGTCAGTATTTATAGTGCGAACACTTAAAGGATTGTGTTGTCCGGTTTTTTTGTAATATTTTGAAGCATTCAAAGATCAACCAGTGACAACACGGAATTTGTATTGACACCACAGTCCTTAAAACCTCATGCATTGTCATATCAGCATTCGCACTGAGCCATCAAGATCCATTTGCTGTCATGTCTGGGTTATTATTATAGCCTTGTTGTGCTGTATACACTTTCTGTGACTATTGTTCTGATACTTGAGGTTGTAGGATTTCTGTACTGTACTTCTTGAATAATTTTGATATCTATAAAGGGTGGAGTCAGTATGATTTTTTTGTAATTAATACTTTATTCAGCATGGATGATTTAACTGATCAAATTATGTTGTATATATATATATATATATATATATATATATATATATATATATTTGAAGTCAGAATTATTAGCCCCACTTTAATTTTTTTTTTTTTTTTTTAAATATTTCCCAAATAATGTTTAACAGAACAAGGAAATTTTCACAGTATGTCTGATAATATTTTTTCTTTTGGAGAAAGTCTTATTCGTTTTATTTTGGCTAGAATAAAAGCAGTTTTGTTTTTTTAAAAAAGTATTTTAAGGTCAAAATTATTAACCCTTTTAAGCTACAGAACAAACCATCGTTACACAATACATTTTTCTAATTCCCCTAACCTACCTAGTTAAACTAATTAACCTAGTTAAGCCTTTAAATGTCACTTTAAGCTGTATAGAAGTGTTTTGAAGAATATCTAGTCAAATATTATTTACTGTCATCATGCCAAAGATACAATAAATCAGTTATTAGAAATGAGTTATTAAAATTATTATGTTTAGAAATGTATTGAAAAAAATTCTCTCCGTTAAACAGAAATTGGGGAAACAAATAAACAAGGGGGCTAATAATTCTGACTGTATATATATATATATATATATATATATATATATATATATATATATATATATATATATATATATATATATATATATAACATATAACATACATAAAACATCTATAGATTTATTGAACATTTTAATTTTTATTTAAAAAATAACACTTTGATTTAAGATTTATGTTGGTAATTTTAACCCTTTAAATTCCAGTAAATTTTGTATAAAAAGGTTATTTAAATATATAAAGTAAATATAAAAGAAATAATAAATGATAATAAATACATTATAGTCATATTAAAGAGTAAAGAAAACTGTAACAGATGAGGGAATAAAAAAAATTAACATTTAAAATTCACATTCTACATATAAAATGTATCACTAATATTTATCTAAACAAGATTTTCAAAATTGAATAAATAAAATAAAAATATTTACTTCAAGGGTCAATAACGGAGAGGGGTCTGGATGCAGACCTGGTGCAGTGCAATCTGAGCTGCATCCAATGCTTTTTAAAGCACTCAGCTAAACCCATCCCCAAAACTACCCCTTACAGTGACATCACTAGCTCCATTGAGTGCTTGTGTCTGACATTGCATTACTGAGACATGCAGTCTCAGCTTGCATCATCAAGGCTGCTTCCAGATACTATTGTAATAATGGGAATCTTGCAGTTGTCAACTGTAATTGGCTAAAAAAAATAAAAGAGAGAAAAAAACTTTGCTCTAGAACTTTGCTTGTTTACAGACCTTTTCATTCAATGCTGAAAAAAGGTCATGAAAATGATTCTAATCACAATTTATCTGTTTGTTAAAAAAATGTAAGTTTATTTTGTATAAAAAGTAAAAAAAAAAAATATATATATATATATATATATATGAAAATAAATAATAATAAATGCATTATTGTCATATTACAGAGTAAAAAAACGAAATACAAAAGTGCCAAAAATGTGACTTCATTGTAATCAATGTCAGTGAAGTTACCATATAAGGTTCCTCCTTGTCATTTTCAACTCTTTAAATTCCCATTTGTTTATATGCCAATGTTTTTGTATCTTAATGTTTAATTTATACAAAAGTTGAATTATATTATAATGATTTCTGAAGGAACGTTGAAATTGAAGACTGTAGTAATGATTCTCAAAAATCAGCTGCTTCCATCTAAATAAATGACAATTTCATATAAATTTGAAAAATAAACAGTTATTTTAAATTTTAATATTATTCCACTGTCCTTACCGTATGTTTGATCAAATAAAATCATCCATGGTCAGAATAAAAATAATTATTTTAAAACAATTTAACAGTCTTTCTGACCCCAAACACTCGCATGGACTCAACAGCCAAATATCCCTCTTTCACTAAAAGTGTTAGAAGTAAACATCACTGCTAGTGTGTGTGTGCGTGTGTGTGTGTTAGCACAACTATAGCATTTTTTACACAAGTGTTGTCCAAAACAGGCTCTGCTGGAATCACAGTCATTCATAAACCTCTGGGACTGAAATATTTCTGCTTGGTACTTCATGAGGGGGGAAATTACACTATAGTTTTTCCACATAATATTCCAGTGTTGTTGCTTAGAGAGTGTAACAAACCCAGCTGTCACAGTATTTCATTCAAGCCAAGCCTGTATGTGTTTTTTTATGAACATGTTTACCTATTCAAAGTACATGTAAGTACATTTCACCTTTTTATATGCACTTGTCTGGATGTATTAAATGCTCACTGATGTTTGTTTTTATTACATTTTTTTCCAATTGTGAATATGATTGCTCAGTTTTTGCACTGGGTGTTGAATGAATTGTGTAAAAGTTTTATATACTGCAATGTCCATTTTTATTTGTATGAATTAGAATATTAAAAGGGAAATGTGAATGCCTTCAAAATAAACTGGATTTTTGGTTATTGCAAGGAATTGTATTAAAATAATCAATGACAAAATGACTATTATGAATTCAGTTGTATTTTATTTAACTCTATGCTGTAAAACATTTGTTGCTGCCTTATGCACTACCTTACAAATGTCTTGTTGTCGATCTCAGTTGAAAGAGCAATGTGGAGAGGTAAGCATGATCGA